TTTTTTTTTTTTTGAAGCATAGAAAGTGTTTCATTTTTCTACTTTCTGATTTTTGTCAATAACGAAAGATGATAATTATCTGTTCAGTTGACATTAATCTATGAATTAGTGTAAAAAAAAAAAAGTTTTTTGCGCGCTTTTCCGTTCGGTAAACTAAAAAACAATGAGTAATAAAGTTGTTAAAGAAAAGAAACAAAAAAAAAGTTGGAAAACTTTTAAATAGTAAATTCAACTTTTTTTTTCCTCCCCTCAAAATATTGAGTAATAAAAGTTGAATTTTTTTGCAGCAGCAATAGCAGTAATATGAAAAAATTACTTCTAAATTTTTTAAAGCTAAATATGATAGTATCAGAAGTGTCGTCGCCCAATGCTTTAAGAGACACATTGACGACAGACGATAGCAAAAAAAAATTGATGAACTCCATTGCTGTAAATGAACCATTAAAACCATTTATCATCCAAAAATAGACTGACTAAACTACCAGTTTTATTGACTACTAAAAATTTGTAAAAAAAAAAACTTTCTTTACTTGAATTTTCTTTTCACATAAAACAAATACAAAAAATTTGTACGTAAAAGACGGCAAAACAAAACTGCGCTGACATTGAATTAAAAATCAAATAAAATTTGTATCTGCAAAAAAAAAAAACTGTGTAAAACTAAAAAAAAAAGCTTTTTGCTCTGTTTGTTGTTTATTTTTTTATGTCTTCTAAATTGCCATTAAACTGTTTGTATTATAAAATATGGTTACCAAAAAAAAAAGAAGAAGAGAAAAATTCCACCTTCATTTTTTTTTTTATTTTTTTATATTGTACAAAATGTTTTTTTTTTTATTTTAGTAAATTGAAAAAAAAAAAACAAAAAAGATTTGACAGAACAGAAAATAGTGGAATTAAATTGCCTTTTTTACAACAAAATCTTTCTATTTGTATTGTGGTATACTTCCAACAGTTTCGTTTACTTCAGCTTAGTTTATTTAATTAAATAAACAACGAATAGAGTGAAAAAAAAGAAGAAAAAAAAAGAATTTTTTTTTCT